CAGAGTTCTACAAATGTCTTGCTGAAGATGTTGAGGAGTGTTTCTGCTGATAAATATTGATGACTTGTTAAGGTTAACTGCCTGCCCTGTAAACACTCTATACTTCTGCAAGATGTCCATAATAGATTGGGCTTGATCAACCCCTGCCCTGCAAAACACTAGTGAGTCATCTGCAAATAGCAGATGTGTTAATATTGGGCCATTTCTGGAGATTTTAATGCCTTGGAGCTGCCCAGAGCTGGAATATTGCTGTATTAAGGCAGTAAGCATTTCAGCCACAATAATGAATAAATAAGGTGAGAGAGGACATCCCTGCCTTATTCCCCTTGTTGGTTTCACAAATCCACAGACTTTCCCATTTAATTTGAATGATATGGAGGATGAAGAGATACATGCCATAATCAGCTTAACAAAATTTTTTGTGAAAACCCATTCGAATCATTATTTGCTGAATACAAGGCCATTCCACACGATCAAAAGCCTTCATTAAATCTAACTTAATAGCCATAAAATAATTCCTCCCTGAACAGTGTCTGTTAAGATAATGAAAGATTTCCTGAGCAATAATTACATTGTCTAACAATTGCCTGCCTTTCATAAATGCTGATTGATGTTCACTGATGCAATTTGCTAGACAATGTTGTAACCTCAAAGCAAGAATCTTTGCTATAACTTTATACACCACTGTACAGAGACTTATAGGCCTGAATTGGCCTAAATTTTCTGGGGTAGCACATTTGGGAATTAATGAAAGGATGGTGTGATTCCAATATTTGAGGATTTGACCAGAGGAGAAAAAACTTTGGACAGTAGCTATAAAGTCTGATTTAATGATAGACCAACAATTTTGATAAAAGGATGCAGACATACCATCTTCTCCTGGGCTTTTGTCTGGATGGAGACTAAAAAGAAACTCCTTTATCTCTTCTTCTGAAACTTCCTGCAGCAATTGCTGATTCATATCATTGGTAACTGATTTGGGGATCAAATGAAGGATAGATTCTCCCCCCCAAGAGCTTTCTGAAGTGAAAAGTTGAGTAAAAGTCAGCTACATGATTTTCAATGTCAGTCTGAGATGAAAGAAGCTGACCATTAGCAGCAGTTAGTCTGGTGATTGAGTTTAACCGTCGCCTCTGTTGGGTGAGAGCATGGAAAAATTTTGTATTTCCATCTCCATCCTTGAGCCATTTCATTCTTGATTTCTGCTGCCAGTATATTTCCTCTTGGTGATAAGCTCTGTCTAAATTTTTCCTCGCTGTATTCCAGGCCTCCCAGTTAGTATTTGTTCCATTGGATCTCAGGTTGTCCATTTGCTTGGTCAAGGTATCAATAATGATCTGATTTTTTGTTCTGAATGTGGAACTCCAGAGTAGAAGAGCTATTCTGGTGTTCTTCACTTTCTCTTTCAACTGATAGAATGGAGTGCCTTGTAACTTTATGTTCCATGCTTTGGTTACCTCTTGTTTGAAACCTTCCTCAGATAGCCATCTCTTATCGAACACAAATCTCTTAGATTTCCTTGGAATACCTCTGCCTGGATCTAGCAAGAGAATAGAATGGTCTGATGAGCTTGTTATCAAGCTTGTGACTTTGGCACTGGGGTAAGCATGATGCCAATCCAGAGACGCAAAAGCCCTGTCCAATTTAACCTCAACCAATTCCTCATTGTGCCTATTGTTGCACCAAGTATACTGATATCCCATGAAAGAAACCTCCTCCATTTCCATGTGATCTATGAAGTTGTTAAAAGCTGTAAAATGACTAGCACACTTCTGCGTTCCTCCTTTCTTTTCATGATTGGCTCTGATGTCGTTCCAGTCTCCGATTATAAACCACTTGGGACCCCATTTTGATTTTTCTTGCTCCAATTCAGCCCATTGAATAGCTCTTTGAGCCTTGTTTGTGCTGAGGTACACAAAGACTCCCCACTGGCTGTCCTCTGATGGAATTTGAAAATGAACCGCAATGAAATATGATGCACTGTGGATTTGATGAATAACAGCTTGAGGGCTCCATAATAACAAAAGGGCTCCTCCTATTCCTCTTGGATCCACCACAAACATTCTATCTTCAAAACCGAGCTTCTTACTAACAGATTTGACATAACCATTTGATTTTTTGGTTTCAGATAAAAAGACAAAGTTGGACGGTGGGACTTAATTGTCCCTCGCATTTGGGAAACTGTAGAGGGCCCGCCCAGCCCTCTACAGTTCCACACCATAGCTAACATTCTTCACCTTGGTGCCACTTCAGGCTGGCCTCCCCCACCTTTCCAGTAAGTGTGCCTTTCAGCTTCTTCGATCTGACTGTTGCTTGTCCATCACCTGCTTCATTGCTTTGGTTATTAATTTCTTTGTCTTCTGCTCTGTTTCTCTTACCATAAGCTGATTGAGAACTAGTTGCTGGAGTTCTCTCCAACCTCTGTGATCTTCCTTCTTTAGAACTCACTCTCTTCCATGTCTTGCTGCTGTGATGAGATGCATTGTGGACTGTTAACTCAGTGCTTGGGTGAGAACTATGAGCTTGTGTTGGCTGGTTTGTGTCCACCTCCATCGCCTTTTCCGATTCAACTATTGGTGGAAGTGCAGATACTGGTTTTGTAATTGAAGTAGATCCTGTTGAATGAAAGGTTGGAGTCTGTGGTTGGTGGTGTGCAATCATCTGATTCCTTGCTTCTTGCCTTGAAGTTGGATCGTCATGAGCAACATTATAGTCAGAGCTTGAGGGTTGATCTGATCTGCGTGAGCTCTTGTTATCTGAGTTATTCACCTCAATCCAATGTTGACCCTCTGGTGTTCAAAATTTCTTATTTAATTCCTTATCTAATTTCTGTTTAAAGTATTTTATTTAATATTTATTTTAATGAAATATTGGATAGGATTGCTGGAACTGAGTCAATTTTGAAATTGCGTTGTTTGGTATGAGAGGATTATTCGCATTATATATATGTCTAAAGTATATTATTTTAGTATTATTTAATTAATTTATTTAATATTTAATTGTTTTATCCATGACATCAGTTTTGTCAAAAAAAAAAAAAAAATTGAACAAACAAACAAAAAAAGACACGTGATTAATTACCTTCAACTTACAAAAAATTTATGGGTGGACGTAAATATTTAACAATGCTGTTTCAAGTTCCTTACTATAATACTATAACTATGTTGTTCAAATATAATATGTTTTATGGGTGACGTAAATATGCTGTTTAAAGTTCCCTAAAATAATTTTTTTAAAAACTATAATGTTTAAAGTTCCTTAAATATTAATATATTTAAAATATACTCATGATGTAATATATTAAAGTCAAAACAATGTTGGAAGACTTTTGAATTATCTAATTTCAAATTATCTAAATTAATTAATTTAAATGTTTAATCTAATTAAATCTTCAATCCATGAAGTATTTTTACTAATCCCGTGAGCATGTTGTTTTATTATTGTAATCAATTTGTACACTATTTTACTAATAAATTATTTAATATCTATGTACAATGGGGTCTTTAATAATATATGATTGTTTCTTTGTCGAATACTATTTTATTGTATAATTTTCATGCATATTATAAAACTTTTATTGAATATTGCATCTTATAATATAATATTCTCCAAATAAATATATCCCGTGACTCGTACAGGTCCCGTACTATATATCCCGTACATTTTTTATTCATTTATATAATATAATTATAAGGATGAATAAATAACCTTAAAATTGTGTACCCCGTGCATCGCACGGGCTCTGTACTAGTTTTTTTTATTGTATTCCTAAAATAAATTGGATAAAAAAGATATGCTAATAAATAGAGATTTTGTAAATTTACAACTTTTAGGCAATAATTAATGAAATTGGCGGGAAAATATTTCTAAAAGTGAATTATATTAATCCTTATTATATATTAATAGATTCTCGAATGTGTTGAGCTTAAGTGGCAGATTCGAATGTTTCGGGAATTAATTTTAAATTTTAAGAAAAAAAATTTAGCAAGCAACCGTGCAATACACGGTCGTTGTACTAGTTAAGTAATTATTGATTCACATTTTCTTTCGAAAATTAATGTTAATTTTAGATAAAGAAACTTAATGTTAATTTTAGATACTTTACCTCTCATTTTCATTAACACTTTCAATTTTCTCCCATTAATTTTTCATTTTAGCAAGTAATTTTTTATTTTCATTATTATTATTATTATTATTATTATTATTATTATTATTTTTTTATTATTATTATTATTATTATTATTATTGAAACAAATATTTTTACAAGAAATTAGTGGGCAGCCGAGATACAATTTGGCCTCCCACTCCTTTGGCTATAGCAAAGCCTATTCTAGTATAAATGTGAGCAGCAGCTTTTGCTCCAATATCTTGGGCTAAGGAAAACTTTTGAATACGTCGGAGTAGAGAAACGGCCGCATCATCCAGTTCCCCAAAGGACGAGAAAGAGAAAGGTAGAAAGCCATACCCTTTTGCTTCGCACTTACCCAAATATTTGGTGCGCTTGCGCTGCGTTGCATCTCGAACTGCTCGACCAGCCACAAAGTTCGTCATCCCGGTTAGTGTCAGAGGAGAGGACCCTGTCAGATCCACGCAAACATCACGTCCCCCATCCCAGGAGTAAAGCAGCAAATCCGCAGGACAGAGGGGCTTGTCGTTCTCGTCACACAAGCCAATGTCAACCTCCTTGCCAACAGATATACCAGATCGATAACAAATATCAGCAAGAGTGTCACTGACCAGATTGTGGCAATGTTTGATACCAACAACACCAGCACAAGACACAGCATGATCACCGAAAATATCACCCTCGAAAACCCTGGAGCAGGCAGAACAAGGCGCCGGACACAGCATTATTATTATTATTATTATTATTATTATTATTATTATTATTATTTCAAGTCGGGGGACGGGGCTTCACAAAGTTGCACGACACGGCGAAGAAGAAAACTGCTGCTCGGCAAAAGGAAAACGACATTTCCAACTTGCAAGATAAAACGGCGATGGCGGTGGAAGTCGGAGGCGGCGGTTTATCGGAGCTGTACTCCAACTCGAAGCGTCTTTCTCTGAAGGTCAGTGATGATTTGGAGAGGCTCGAGCGCCTCGAATTCACCTCGTCGTCATCGTCCTCGCTGTCCTCGTCAACCGCCGCCGTCGAGGGGTCTTTCGATGAACGAGCGACTTCAATTCGGAGAGACTTGAATCGGATCCAGTCGCTCTGTGCCGATATGGATCGGTTATGGCGGTCCATAGCCTCCAAGCCTCAGCGCGATCTCTGGAAAAGGTTCTCCCTCCCTCTCTCTCTCTCTCTCTCTCTCTCTCTCTCTCTCTCTCTCTCTCTCTCCCCGAGTGTGTGTGTGTTTATGCGTTGCGTATTGGTTTGATTTGAATACACTGTGTAAATTCCGTTTGCATTCACTTTGATCTATACGATCTATAGGAAATTCAAGTATGGATTCGAGGAGTTTTCGTTATTTAGCTTAATTTGTGCCCTGCATTTGTGTTTATTGTGAATTTGGGAAGGATTTTTAGAAGATTTGATCGGCGGATTTCAAAATTGATTTGATGTTCTTGTTGTTCAATTGATGATTTATATCTATTGTGTGCGGTTCTGATGCTGCTGGGAATTTTTAGATTAAAGATTGTTGGCTGTTGATCTTATCTTGCCTTATTGCATTGTTAGCTGTTGATCTTACCTTGGCTTATCGCCTGACCTGGAACTGTGATCGCCTGAGCTTTGTTATATTAAGGCAATTGGCGTGGTAACGTGAGTGCACTTACCGGGTTTGTGTGTGTGTGTGTGTGTGTGTGTGTGTGTGTGTGTGTGTGTGTGTGTTTTGGCATTCGTAATCGTATGTGTGGGAATAGTTTGTGGAAATATCTTTATAGCTATTTTACAACATGATCTTTCACAATACACCGTGATAATTGTTAAATCTAACTTATCTAAGTAACACGAATGTTTGATATGTGCCGAGATAGTCGATCTGGTCTTCTCTAAAGCTTGGATGGCATCTTCTTTGAGTTCTATTTCCATTTGATTTACTGATATTTCCGAGGAAAGTTTATAATATAAATATATGATAAGATGTTGAATGTTTGAATTCATTGAGATATGTGATTGGATGGTTAGGGACTTAGGATTAGTTGGTATTTGGAAGAATTCTCTACTGGTAATTCTATATTATTTTTCACATCAAATTTTGCTGGTGGATAGGATGTGTAATAATGGCTGATATGGTCTTCCACGGATACCATTGCTGAACAATTTGCTTAAATAAGCTCATCTTGGGGTTCACCTTGAATTTCTTGGTAGATAAGAACTATTTTGCTATATTTATATATTTAGGTTCTACTTTTGTGAATTTAATGTTTAAGGACCTCACAGAATGAACAGTATTGCCATTATGTTGGATAAGTTTTATTGTAACGACCATGTAAGTGGTAGGGTTTGGAAAAAACACCATGCTAAAAGAATATTCACTCGAGCACAATGTAACTGAAAACAGATTACTCATATTCAGAAGCCAACTATTTAGCATGATAGCTGGAACTTAAATGGAGTAGTTTCTGTTAGCAGCCCTAGCATCAGGATATTGCAATCATTACCTGATCCTTTGTTCTTTTATTCCAGGATTATTACATAGACTTCCCGGAAGCACTTGCTTTATTCCTTTCACTTGGGTATTCTATATTTTTATTTTCCACGTGATTGTTTGTATGAAAGAATTTGTGTTGTGCAGGAAAGTGGAACAAGTCAGTGAGGAGGCTGAGTCATTCAGAGCTAGTCTGGATAAATACCAGGCGAGGCGTCAAAAGCGGATACAAGAAGCCCAAGAGAGAGCAGAATTACTTGGAAGAGCTGTAAGACATCTCTTTGAGATTTGAGAAAATTTTATCTCTTGTCTTTTTATATTTTACTCATCAGTTCAATGACATTGTTCCTTTGCTTTTAGAGTGGAGATTCACATGTTCTGAAGATTTTTGATGAGGAGGCACAAGCAATGGAATCAGTTCGCAGATCATCCAGAGTGTTAGAGGATACTTTCGCGACTGGAGTTGCCATTCTTTCCAAGTATAGTGAGCAAAGGGATCACTTGAAGGTACTTATTTTGAAGCACCTAATATGTTATTTGATCTTAGGCTCTTTGATGCCGATATTGGTATAAGTGAGACATTTTCATAATTTTCACTTAATACTTACGGTGGGCCGATAGGATGATTACTGTTGTATTGCATTGTTATGCTCTGATGTTTGCCGATTAAACGAACTCAAACAGACTGTTACTCAAACCAGCTTATATTTCATATCCTTTTGCACCCCTCATTACAAAATATTTGCAGTAGTGATGACAATCAAAAGGCCTCCAAAACATTGAGTACCAAATTCGAGAAATTATGAGTTGTCTGAAAAAATGGTTCATGTATTGACTCCTCTTTTCCACGGTTTTGAGAAATTCCTTTTTTTGTCAACTTTTGACTACAGAGAGCTCAAAGGAAAGCACTGGATGTTCTCAACACTTTAGGGCTGTCAAATTCCCTGCTGAGGCTCATCGAGAGGAGAAACCGTGCCGACAAATGGATCAAATATGCAGGCATGTTTGTAACAGTCGTGGTCCTCATCATGTTTTGGAGGTGGACAAGGTGATGGCCGATGCATACCACTAAATACGAACCTAGTTTCACACATATATAGCCTACTTGTTCAGTTTATTGTCCGGGATTTTGTTACATGAAAAAGGTGAAACGATGATGAGGAGGTTTTTTGATAAACGAAAAAAACATTTGCTCGTGACGGTACAAATTGCTCCAGGAATTACAATTGTAATTAGTTTTGGCAACAACCGTTATTGTTACTATCTACTGTAATCGACCATCGACTAGCTGTATTTTTTCATGTAAGGCCATAGCTACTGGGATGAGCTGACACAAGATTTCATGGATTTATTTTGGTTCAGTATATATATGTTTTGAATTTTTCACAGGTTGAACTTCTGATTAACTGTCCAGTTAACCTAATTACCAGAATTCCACTTATCTTTTTGAAATTGAAAGTGACACCAAATTATAACGGTGAAGTTTTTTGAAACAACCGAACAAGAAATCCACCTTGTCAAGAAATCCACCTTGTCTGTATACAAGCGTAATAACATTGTATTCAAAGGGATTATTATTAAAATAACATGCGAAAAAAATTAAAAAAACACAGCAACAACAAAGTATCACGAGACATATACAGCACAAACATCATGTCTGCATACATAAATAGTTCCGAATTTTCGCAACAACGTACTCGTTTTTCACCTATAGGGTCTCGACCGTCTTCTTGTTCGTAAACCTCCTCGCCACAATAACAAACAATCCCAAGTTGAGCACACTGAGAATCGCCAGTAACTCGAAAAAGTAATGCAGGTGACCGTAGTTCAAATTGTCGGGTATCCAGCCGGGCCCACCGTTCCTCGTGCTGAACACCGTCACTAGCGTCACAAGAACCGAGCTCATGTAATTCCCGAGTGCGAAAGTCGTGAGGGAAAGAGCCGAGCACAAGCTCCTCATCGAGTCGGGCGCCTGGTCGTAGAAAAACTCCAGATGCCCGATTTGCGTCAGCACCTCCGCAAAACCTATTATGAAGTATTGGGGCACCTGGTCGTAAAAATCGACACGAAAAAAATACTTAGCATGCGAGTACGTATATTTCAAACCCGTTTAAAAAAAAAAAAATGATTAAAACATTAGTTATATTCAGAAAAGATTTCATTTTTTTCGGCAGTTACACCTGCCAGAATATGGAGATCGGAGCCTCCTGCACGTCATAGAGGCCGTGCCGCCTAACTGTATCCAGCCTGGCGACCTCCAGGGCGGCTGCCGCCAGCATGGCGAAGACCGATACAAGGAGACCCGAGCCCATCCTCTGTAGTGGGGTGAGCCCATTCCTATGGCCCGTGAACCTGCGGGCCACGGGGATGATGGCCCGGTCGTAGACTATGACCCAGAACATAACGCCTATGGTGTCGAAAGTGGTGAGTGATGCCACGGGTACTCGGAAGTGGGTCCCACCAACCCTAGAGTCCAAGTACAGGGCCTGAAGCAGGAACATGTTACCCATTTGCCCGTAAACCGTACTGAATATTATGCCTGTGGCCCAAACGGGCAGCAGCCGAAGGAGCCCCTTTAGCTCCTCGACTTGGGTAACTGTGCAGAGCCTCCATGGATTGGCCGTGCCCTTGTTGAAGTCCGACTGGGTGAAAACCGCTGCCCGGTCAAGGAACCTGACCAGCATTTTTTTGGCAAGTGTTAAAAGAGTGTTATATCATTCAGAAGCTTTCGACTTCAAGATAGCGTTTATCTACGTTTACTATTGAACACACTCGTCGAGTGGCCGTTCATGACGTTTCCGACTATTCGTGCCTTGTGGTGTGTTATCTATGTTTTTCTGTGAAATGCAAGTACGTGTGTGATTTTTTTTTTTTTT